TATATATATATAATCTTTCCGATTCTAATTCTCATTCAAGTATATGATATATTAATCATCATAAAATGAATAATTAATTATAAGAACTAATTTATATTTTTAAGTAATTTTTTCAGGCAAAACATATTAGAATAGTAGATTTGAGTCTAACTTAATTTTATAAAATTGATTTTTAAAATAAAGATTGTTCTACATATAATTTATTTTATCTCTAATTAATATAAGGTTTTGATTTTTCTCGATAAAACATTATATATAATACTGTGATAATTCATAAAAAAAATATATATATATATTTGTTTAAGACAATATATTATAATCCGAATTCATTATTTTTAAAGGGAGAGGAAAGCAGAGCTACAAATTTTAGTAAATAATTAGTTATCTTGTCTTGCCTAATAAAAGAAAATTAAAGCTCGTTCAATTCCACTATTTTAAAGTCGTTGGGAATGGATTGGACTTTATATAGTGATGAGAATTTTAGTGATGGTGTGGGTTTTGAATAATTGAAGGGTGAAAAGAGAGGTCACGGACAAGGCTAAGTGATTTTCTTTTTAAAAAGAATTATTATTTATATAATTATTTTTGTTTTGGTGACTGTGTCTTCTTTATCAGCATGAGTATTAGCGTTATATAGGGGAAATTTCAATGTAGTTCAGAACTACTAAGCATTTATAATTTTAACTTATCATTATACGGTAAGAATTTAAATTTTTTAATCTTTAAGAAAAATTTAATAAATGTTTAATTATATGCTATGTAGAAACTAATTAAAAATAAAATAATTCAAGATTACCTGATCATTTGAGCAAGGACCAAGATTCTCATTAAATTTGTGCTAGTACATTATTTAATTATTGTTTCTCCTAAATTTATGAATATTAATAAATTTTAATTAGAATGTAAATGTATTAAGAGGAGTATCTTAAAAGTGATATTATCACTCCTCCTTGATAAGAGAATCCAGGCACCTATTTTAATGAACTCATTTCTCCATTTTCTAATGACGTGTTTTTTCTCACAACAAAATTCATTGGCCAAGCTCCACAAAAATGCTGGGAATCGATCTGGTTTCTTTAGTTTTTTTTTTTTATTCAGTCAATCTAGCTGATAATGTAGCACCAAAAATCTCAACTGGTCATGATATTTTCCTGAGAGACTTTCATTCAATTCCTAAATGATATTAGAAAGATTATTTACCTTACGATGAAATATCATCATCATTACGTTTAAGCAACTCTTAACTTTTTAAGAGCTAAAAAATTAATGACTTGGTCAAATAGCAAAGAGATGGAAGGTTCGATCAGTTGGTTCTGAAGCATTTCAAGATGGGAATAATTTTCTAGTTTCAGTAATTAGAGGGGCAAGGTAATCATTTTATGAGAAACTAGATGTTGACTTACACGGGTAAAGAAATGTATATATATATATATATATATATATATATATATTTAATGTGAATGGTTTATAGAATGAAAAATTAACCAAGAACTCTTAAATTATATGATATTATATTTATAATTATGTATATGACATTTTAAATAATTTGAACTTTTTTTAGATGTTATCCGATAATGAATATATATATATATATATATATATATATATATATAAAAAATATTAAAATTATATTAAATTATTATATTTAAAAAAATGAAATAACAAATGCATAATAATTATATGTAAGATACCTACATATGTTTGTGACAAATTAGAAGAAGAAGATTGGTAAGATATTGAATTTTGTTATGATTTTAGTTTTTTGAGTTCAAGAAATGACACTCAATTATAAAATGAATAGAAAGACAATTGAAATTAAAGATATAAAATACATATTAATTCTCACTTTGCAATTTTGTAATTCTTTTTTTAGATTAATTTGTGGATAATTCGGTTAAAAAAATAAAAATTACATAATTCTTATAATATAAGATTCGTCTACTCATTCATTAAAACTTTTTAATTTAATCTCTATTACATATTATATTTTGTGTGTGAAATTTGATAATCTTTTCTAAATTAACCTGTAAAATAAAAGGAAAAAAATTAGAGAACAAAAAATTATAATATAAGATATTATTAGCAATCAAACTTATTTTTAATCATTTTTCTAAAATAAAACTCATTTTGCAAACTTAATTATCTAATAAACGTCTTTAGTTATAATAATTTTTTTTAATTTTTTTAAAATTTAAAATGAAAGATTACAATTAAATCTTTTGTCATAAAAAATAAAATAAATATTATAATGTACTAATAAATATCATAATGATATGATAATATTTTTGTTTCGTAACTTATAATTTATAAATATAAATAGATATTTATTTTATTTATAATTAGTAATAATTACATATTATTAATTATTTTCTATAACTAACATTTTAATTAAATTCAATCTCTTAATTACTTAATACTAATTGAAAAGATCAAAATTTTGGTATAAAAATTAATATAATCAATAATTACATTTTCTTTTTTGTGTATAGTTTATAATATTTATTTCTATTTATTATTTTTCTATAATTGATATTTTAATTAAATTTAGTCCCTTAATTTAAAATTAATATAATCAATAATATATAATCAATAATATTAAAATAATTTTTTAAAAATTCAACTTTTAATTAACTAAGAAATTAAATTAAATTAATAAATATTTTAACTCTTTAAGAGGAAAAATAATTTTAAAAAAAAGAGTGAGGCAAGAAGATAATATATATAATTATGAAACTTAAATGTTTTGACCAAAAATATAAAATAAAATTAAAAAAAAAGATAAGGTTGATAGGAACTTGAAGAATTCATTGACATTTAATCAAAATTGATTTTTCTTTAGAACAATAAAAACAAAACAAAAAGAATCACTTAGTTACTCTCAATTTTGAAATTTCAGGAAACATGGATTATGGAAAATTGTGAGAAAAAAGGCTCATACGACAATCAAAACAAAATATTAAAAAATTGATTTTATAATATAAAAATATTGTTTTGCTTGTCAAAATATCTAATAGAAAACAATTTAAGAATATAGTGAGAAAAAAAATCACCCCGTATCTGTATATCAACTCTATCAATTTCTTGAATATACTTATATATTTGTACCTATATCATATTTTCATGTAAAGGTAGGTTGGGTATGCCATAACTCTTTTAAAGAAAAAGAATTAAAAAAAAAAAAGAGTGATGCGATAAGAACAAAAAAAAATAAAAAAAGAAAAGAAAAGATTTTGAAACATACATGTTTTGCAAAATGGGTTATCAAATCCCAAATCATGCGAGTGGAATCAAATTAAGAATATAGTGAGAAAAAAAACTACCTGAAAATTAGTATTTAAACATTTCATTATACGTGACAATGGATGAGTGGCTGTTGGGATGGTTGACTGTGGAGACAAAGGAGGAGCGGTCATCCCACATAAGAGACAAAGGTACGTCATCCCACGTAGGCGACAAGGGTATGGCCGTCGCGATTTTGCTTCAATGGAGAAACTATAACTAGTGAGTATTTAGAAGATTTATGGGGTGGGGAGGTGACAATGGTTGATAGATGCAACAGAGGAACGATTGTCACAATTTTGGGGGATGGGGGATGGGGGAGGTTAGTAGGTGGTGAGAGACAATTAGGTGACGAAGTATGACCGTCGCAGGTAAATATATTAGAATAAGAAATACATTATAGAACGACATGTAAGTAATTTTGCTAACATGACAACATTTTAAAGACATTTTAAGTTGATGTGTCAACGTAATAGAGAGTAACTTGGTTTTAAAATAGGAGTTATGGATCTGCTATGCAGCTATAGGTGGTGCTCCAAGTATTTAGGTTTTGTGACTATAGAGATATAGGGTTTGTAGCTATGGAAATATATTAGAATAAGAAATACATTATAGAATAACACATAAGTAATTTTTCTGATATGACAATATTTTAGAGACATTTTAAGTTGATGTATTAATGTAATAGAGAATAACTTGATTTTTATATGATAGATAGAGACATTTTAAGTTGATGTATCAACATAATAGAGAATAGCTTGATTTTTATATGATAGATAGAGACATTTTATGCTGATGTGTCAACATAACAGAGAATAACTTGATTTTTAAATGATAGATAGATTTTCATAAAGCTATAATTGTATTCAAATAATCCTTTGACTTTCTTAAGACACAGAAAAAAGTTGCATTGCAGCCCATGTCTAGTTACAGTTTGGGATGAATAATGATTTGGTTACCATTTTTAGCATTGATAAATTTGAGCCACAAAATTAAGGACCACTACTAAGTTATTAACATCAGTAGCCGTTTAGGCTCTTTCTTTTTTTGTAAAAAAAACATAAACAGAAAGGGAAAGTCATCTATGATCATTTTCACACAATGTACATGTTATAATTTCATAATTTATCACAAGGTATCAGTCTAGTCAAGCATGAAAAACTCTAGTACTGCATTTGATACTTTCTTATTCTTGCAGAAAATGTTGCATAGAGATTAGTTCCCAGCAAGAGTTAGTACACTTGGATCTTTACATTTATGTAACAAACGACAGTACTAGAAGCTAACTTATTTAATATTCCCTCAGAAATGTTGAAGGGTGTGTGCGTGAGCTATTATAAATTTCTTAGTACTAAATTGGATTCTTATGGATAAAAAAGAAAAGACACGTTGAAGGGCTAAGTTAAGCTTATAGGTCATAGCAGTATCAACCATGCTCCGAAACCATAACATAATGGCGCGGTTTTAACATCCTCCAATTGTATTATTGTTGAAGATGTTTATTTTATAATTTGTAGTTGTCCCTCTAAACGATGAGAATCCAAGAATATCCACGTGAACTATTCTACTACTATTTTATAATTTTATTCTCCATGCACTAACCAGAACAAGTTCACGTGAACTAAGTCTATGTGTACAGGTTTGAGGATCTCATTGTCTTTGCAGTGAAATCCCTTCGAACCACTCATTGTTTTGCAGACAGTAGGAGAGGCCAAAACTGTGGATGCAAAAAATAATATGAAAAAATAGTAGCTTGTAAATAAGAAGCGAGTTGAAGACAAACAGATAGTGAAATAGAAAAAAAGAGCAAAGAGCGTATTCAATGAAGAAACAAGGGTGTGAGGTTGAGGCAATAGGCATCAACTACAAGATCTGCACAAAGACAACAAAGAAACCTTTTAATATCTTCAGCAAAACTCCACAAGTTGAAGCAGAAGATGAAGCAAAGTCTGAACAAAACGGAATTAGGCATGTCCTCAAGGATGTGAACTGCATAGCAAAGCCATGGGAAATTCTTGCAATTGTTGGGCCAAGTGGGGCTGGAAAATCATCCTTGCTTGAGATTCTTGCTGGTAAGGCTAGTCCACAAAGTGGGACTATATTGGTGAATCAAGAACCTCTAGATAAAGCTCAGTTCAGAAAATTTTCAGCGTATGTTACACAAAAGGATGCCTTGTTTCCCTTGCTTACGGTTGAAGAAACCATAATGTTTAGTGCAAAGTTAAGGTTAAACCTTCCTCAGGAACAACTATGCTCCAGGGTCAAGTCACTGATTCTAGAGCTTGGTCTAACCCATCTTGCTAGGAGTAGAATTGGAGATGACAGGGTTCCCGGCATATCTGGCGGTGAGAAGCGCCGAGTTTCAATTGGGGTTGAAGTCATACATGATCCAAAAGTGCTGATTTTGGATGAACCAACTACAGGGCTTGACAGTACCTCAGCTTTGCAGATAATTGATATGCTTAAAGTCATGGCTGACTCTAGGGGACGAACTATAGTCCTAAGTATCCACCAACCTGGGTACAGGATAGTGAAGTTGTTCAACTCAATACTGTTATTGTCAAATGGCAATGTGTTGCACCATGGCACTGTAGATTTGCTGGGTGTGAACCTAAGGTTAATGGCTTTAGAGATCCCTCTTCATGTAAATGTAGTTGAGTTTGCCATTGATTCCATTGAGACCATTCAGCAACAACAAAAGAAAGGTGGTGAACAAGGTGAAAATAGAAGTATTAAGTTTACTTTGCAACAGCTCTTTCAACAATCCAAGGTAATTGACATAGAAATCGTTGGTGAGGGAATGGATACCACTTGTGATTTTGCTAATTCTGGATTGAGAGAAACCATGATTCTCAGTCATAGGTTCTCCAAAAACATCCTTCGTACAAAGGAACTCTTTGCATGTAGGACAATTCAGATGCTGGTTTCTGGACTGGTTTTGGGGTCTGTCTTTTGTAATCTCAAGGATGGTCTTGTGGGAGCAGAAGAAAAAGTAGGTCTATTTGCTTTCATATTAACATTTTTGTTATCAAACACCACTGAAGCTCTACCAATTTATCTTCAAGAAAGGGAGATTCTAATGAAGGAGACCTCTAGTGGAAGCTACAGAATTTCATCCTATGCAATTGCCAATGGCATAGTTTACTTGCCATTTCTACTCATATTAGCCATTTTATTCACAGTGCCTTTGTACTGGCTTATTGGTCTAAACAGGAATTTCATGGCATTTTGGTACTTTTTGATGCTAATTTGGATAATTCTTTACATTGCAAATTCGGTTGTGGTATGTTTCAGTGCTCTGGTGCCTAATTTCATAGTTGGGAATTCAATGATCGCTGGTGTCATCGGTTCATTTCTCTTGTTCTCTGGCTACTTCATATCAAAACATGAAATTCCAAAATACTGGATTTTCATGCATTATATATCTCCATTTAAGTACCCCTTTGAAGGGTTCCTGATAAATGAGTTCTCTAACTCAAATAAGTGCTTGGAGTACTTGTTTGGGGTATGTGTTGTGAGAGGAGAGGATGTACTTAAAGAAGCAAAGCTTGGAGGGGAAACTAGTAGATGGAAGAATGTTGGGGTGATAGTGTGCTTCATCTTGGTTTACAGATCTATTTCTTATGCAATTCTTAGGTATAGATGTTCTTAAGGAGTCATCCTAAAAGTATGATGACACTCTCTCTCAAGAGCGTTCACGTGTCTTGGACTTTTCTGCAGATAGCAAACAAGAAGATATAAAATCATATCAACAAGCATAAAAATGTATATTATGTTGGTTTGTATTTTCTATGATTACTTAATTCACACCACCGTCTCTCTCTTCATCATTCAGATTCCTCTTCCCTCCTATTGGTCAAAATCAATGTGCTTAACTGAAGAAAGTTAGCAGATTGAAATATCTATCACTGTTGCATTGAAGCCGGTGGTAACAACAAACTGAGGAGTATGTTTGAGGCTCTGCCTCTACAGCCTACGTACTAGCATATACAATTTAGAATTCTAAACAATTTTAAAATATTAGAATTTCAATCGTTTCAATCAGTAAGGAGCACTAAACCAAAAATCTTATTTAACATGCGCACCAAACCAACACACAGGGAGTTTCTTTATTCAAATTTACATGTTTCAGAATCCGGGATCAACGTCTGAATTCTCTAAACGGTTTTTGATGATAAAGAGAATAATCAGAATTAAAATCTTCAAATTACTAAATACAGACCATAATTTCATGATTTTTGGAAAGTTTAGAATTTCAAATTTAATCAACTAATTACAAACTTACTATTTTACCAATCTAATCAACCAAAATATTTCTAGCTACAACAAAAGGATTCTTATTGACATTACAACAGAAAGCCACCTAAATTTACAACAAAATGTTCCTGCTCTTGTTCTTACTCGATCCTACCAGATGTTCATTATATGTCAGCAACTTATTACAGTGACTAACACTACTACTTGTCTTATTAACTGTGCAAGACATAATAATGGTAAAGGGTATTATTCATAAATAATACCCTTTACCATGTCAGAAACTTTGCCTTGGCATTAATGTCAACGATTTCAAGTAAGAATTACTTTTTAGAGTTAGTGAGAATAGTCCAATACTAATAATATTTCATGGAGCAAGAATTAAAAAATTAAGAGAGAAATTAATGACTAAGAGATACATTAGCACCAATCATACCCAGAATAACCACCGCTGTGTAAACAGAATAGAGCGCACCTCTCGGTTCCTGCTATGTAAACAATAATGACTAAAACACTAAAAACATGAATAGAAGGGAAAAAATTGTTTGAAGATTTATCTTTTAAATTTATAAGTTACTTTTATGTTATTATAGATACCAAAAAACAACTTTATGTGCCTCGTTCACAATCTCACAAACTTTTATACCAAATCTTCCTACTTTCTAGTGAAGGACTCGAGAGCAATAAGCCAGATGAATTTCATTTTATGCAACTGCAGTAACAGCTTCCGTTTCCATTTCACAATGCAACACAAGTTCAGAGTCACTTTCCTCCTCAAAGATCTCATCCTCATCAGCTTCTGGCACATAGCCAGCCCGCTTCATCTGTTCTGTGAGAATTTTAAGAACTAAATGGATGTCCTTCCTACGAGGGTGCCTTTTATCTTTCACCATGAAAACATGCACACGACTCTGAATTTCAATCCAACTGCAACCAGGTTGCTTAATTACTCCTTGTTGCCTCATCTGTTTCCGGACTCTCATCACATCCTTCCATCTTCCTAGCTCAGCATACATATTAGAAAGAAGAACATAAGGTCCTGAGTTCAAGGGATCAATCTCCATGAGCTTTTCCGCAACATAATTCCCTAATTTAATGTCTCTATGAACCTTGCAAGCAGCAAGCAAAGATCCCCAGACAACAGCATCAGGCTGCATTGGCATTGTCTGTATCAAATTGTTTGCTTCATCAAGGCAACCAGCCCGACCCAGTAAATCAACCATGCATGTAAAATGGTCCTTCATTGGTGCTAAACGATAGTCAGTCCTCATTGACTGGAAGTAATGACGTCCTTCTTCAACAAGTCCTGCATGGCTACATGCTGATAGAACTCCAATCATAGTAACATGATCTGGTTTTTCCCCTGATACCATCATTTTCCTGAAAATATCAAGGGCATCTGTACCATAACCATTTTGTGCATACCCCACTATCATGGCATTCCATGAGACATTATCCCTTTCTACCATATGCTCAAAAACCAGGCATCCATCTTCAACCAATCCACATTTCATGTACATGTCAATGAGAGAATTCCCCACAAAAATATCAGATTCTTCTCCAGACTGGAACCAAAAACCATGCTTCAAAATGTGAGTATGAGCCTGTCTACCAAGCTTCAGATCAGCAAGATTCGCACATGCATTAAGTAGATTCCCAAATGTGTAATGGGTTGGCCAGAGGGCTTCCCTCTTTAGGAGGAGGAAAAGTCTAACTGCCTCCTCATTCTCTCCATTCTGTGTGTAACCTGCAATGAGGGCATTCCATGACACCACATTCCTCTCCATCATGTTTGAAAACATCAATCTCGCGGCTTTCACGCTGGCTACCCTGGCATATCCACTAACCATGGAGGTTTCAGACACCACATTCCTTAGTGGCATCCTATCAAAAACCATTCGAGCTTCATTAACTCTTTTGCATTTTGCATACATATCAACCAATGCATTGCCTAACACAAGGTCATTCCGGAACTTATCCCGTTTCATAACACGAGCATGAATTTGCAAACCTTCCCTAATTGCTGACAAGCTCGCACAAGCACTGACCACACTGGCCAGAGTAATCTCATCAGGCTCAACCCCATTATGCATCATCCTAACAAAAACCTCTAGAGCTTTCTCCACAGGACCATTTTGCTCATAACACGTAATCAAACTGTTCCAAGAAACTATATTCCTCACAACCATCCCATCAAAAGCCGTTTGAGCACAAGCCACTTCCCCACACTTGGAGTACATATCAACAAGAGCAGAGCCCATGTAAACATCTAACAAGTAACGAGATTTTGATATCAAAGCATGGATTTGAGCCCCCATATTCAAATCTGTCAACCCTGCACAAGCACTAAGAGCACTTCCAAACGAATACTCATTAACCACAAAATCCTCACTATGCATATCAACAAAGAACTTCAACGCCTCCTCAAAGCGACCATGTTGCGCAAAGCCAGACACCATAGCATTCCACGAGCACTGGTCGGGCTCGGGCATCGACTTAAACACGTTCAAAGCCTCGTCGAGCTTACCAAACTTGGTCAAAACGCTTAAAATCGCGTTATAACTGAAAGTATTCCTCTGTGGCATATGATCAAACAGCTTACGCGCGTCCTCAAAATAACCGCATTTCCCATAAGCATCAACTAGCCTGTTCTGAATGAAGATTTCAGTTGAAAACTGTGTCTTAATGATTCGAGCATGAACACGACGCGCGTCAATTCCAGACTTTGACCGAACGCAAGAGTCCAACAACTTCGCGAAGGGTGAAGAATCGAGAAAACAAAGGTCACCCACCACTTTGTGAACGAACCCATGTCTACCCATTCCATAACCTCACAGAAAGACCCTTAATTTGAACAAGTGGGTCCCATTAACGAAACCTTATAGAAGGACCCTTAACATGGTTCAGAGAAAGCAACATGTCCATGCTGCCCAACGACGTCGTTTCCTCCGTTGAGAAATACTCGTCTCTGATTTCAAAGTGCGTCACGGCAAGGAGAGTGAAACTCGCAAATGGCGTGCATGGTCACCTTATCAAAACCGCGCTTTTCTTCGATGCTTTCCTCGCTAATGGTCTCATTGACGCGTATTCAAAGTGCGGCTGCGAAGAAAGTGCATACAAAGCCTTCGATGATCTTCCCAACAAGACCACTCGCTCGTGGAACACGCTAATCTCGTTTTACTCGAAAACGGGCTTATTCGATAAGGCCCATAACCTGTTCGACAAAATGCCTCAACGGAACGTCGTTAGTTATAACTCGTTAATCTCCGGCTTCACGCGCCACGGACTTCACGAAGATTCCGTTAACCTCTTTCGGGCGATGCAAAACGGTCGTGACGGTTTGGTGTTAGACGCGTTCACGGTTGTGAGCGTAGTTGGAAACTGCGCTAGTTTGGGCAACGTTAAATGGTTGCGTCAGGTGCATGGGGTGGCAGTTATAGTTGGCATGGAGTGGAACGTGATTCTCAACAATGCTTTAATTGATGCTTATGGGAAATGTGGGGAACCCAATTTGTCGTGTTCTGTGTTTTGTTGGATGCCAGAGAGAAATGTTGTGTCTTGGACATCAATGGTAGTGGCTTACACAAGAGCATGCAGATTGGATGAGGCTTGTAGGGTGTTTGACAATATGCCGGTTAAGAGCACGGTTTCTTGGACTGCTTTGATAACGGGTTTTGCGAGAAACGGGCGTTGTGGTGAAGCTTTGGATGTTTTTAAGCAAATGTTGGAAGATGGTGTAAGGCCTAGTGCTCTAACTTTTGTGAGTGTTCTAGGTGCTTGTGCAGAGGTGGCTCTTCTAGGAAGAGGTAAGCAGGTGCATGGTCAAGTTATTAGAGGTGGTGTAAGTGGGAACTTGTTTAATGTGTATGTGTGCAATGCTTTGATTGATATGTATGGTAAGTGTGGAGATATGAGATCAGCTGAAAATTTGTTTGAGATGGCTCCTGTGAGAGATGTGGTGACTTGGAATACATTGATTACTGTGTTTGCACAAAATGGCCATGGGGAGGATTCATTGGCTGTGTTTAGAAGGATGATAGAAGCCAAAGTAGAGCCAAATCATGTGACATTTCTTGGGGTGCTATCTGGTTGTAGCCATGCAGGTTTAGATAATGAAGGGTTGGAGTTGGTGGATTTGATGGAAAGGAAGTATGGAGTGAAGCCTAAAGCTGATCACTATGCTTTATTGATTGATTTGTTGGGGAGGAAAAACAGACTCAAGGAAGCCATGAGTTTGATTGAAAAAGTGCCTAATGAAATTATGAATCACATTGCAGTGTGGGGGGCAGTGTTGGGTGCTTGTAGAGTTCATGGGAAGTTGGACCTTGCTAGAAAGGCTGCAGAGACTTTGTTTGAGTTGGAACCACAAAATTCGGCTAGATATGTTATGCTCGCAAACATCTATGCTGCATCTGGCAGGTGGGGTGATGCCAAAAGAATTAGGACGGTTATGAATGAGAGATGTTTGAAGAAAGAACCAGCTTATAGTTGGATTGAGTTGAGGGATGCGAGACACGAGTTTGTGGCTAAGGATAAGTTCCATCCAAATATTGTAGAGATATGTGAAGTAAACAGTAAATTAGTTCTTCATTTGAAGGATGCTGGATATCAGCCTTATACTGATTATCCTTTTCTTCCTGATCATGATGATGGTTTCTACTTTAGTTAGGAGTATTATAGCCGCATTGATGAGAAGTCTCGGTCATGTTATTATGCCACCGTGATACCAAGGATAGTACTCTTCATACTCCACTTACTAAACTTTGTGAGATAATCTAATAAGGGTGTATTTGTTTCCATGTAAAGAAGCTTCAAGTGTCCATTTTACTCAATGACACTAGACTCATGGATTGGAATGAGTGTTAACTGCAACACAAGCATAAACACGTTATGAGTAACAACCGAATGTGGTCATATTTGGATTAGTTATAGTTAGGTGCCTTCAATGTACTTGCCTATTGCTGTTGTCTCCTCATGTCTCGAGACAATACTGGCATTAGTTATGTATTGAAATTTCATCCTATGGCTACACACAAATACAATCTCATAAGGGTGTGTTTGTTTCCATGTAAAGAAGCTTTAAACGTTTATTCAACTCAATGACACAAGACTCATGGATTGGAATGAATGCGTGTTAATTGCAACACAAACACACACCACGTGTTGGTTCCGTGTCCAAAAGCTTTAAACTAGCGTTAAAAACATGAAAATCAGAAGCTATTAGGAGCTTTTGCCTTGAACATGGAAAGTAGACATGAGTATTAGCTCAAACACGTTATGAGTAATAACTGAATGTGGTCATCTTTGGATTAGTTGTTTAGTTAGGTGCCTTCATTGTACTTGCCTACTGCTGTTGTTTCCTCATGTCTTGAGGCTCGACACTATCATTAATTATGTTTTGAAATTTCATCCTATGGCTACATACAAATACAATCATTTGATCAACTGTAACTAATGATTTCCATAGATCAGAATTATGAATGATCACTGCAAGCAATTAATAGGCTTCTAATAATTAATTGCCGCTATTAATGTGTGCAAATGTGTCATCAAAATAAAGTTATCCACTATTTTAGTCCTGAGTTGACTCTTGGAAAGTTGGAAACAACATACCTTTTCATATTAATTTTAATTTTAATCTTAAACTGACCATAGTCAACATTCTTCGATATGCTGACAATCTTATGGTCGTTGGGGACCACAATACTTTGAAACACATAACCAAGTTTGTTTCCCTCATCGTTTATTATGCTTTGAGAAAGTGATTTTCTCGGAAACAGAACACAGTCAAGACCAACTGATTTTCTCAGAAACTTCCCGTGAGAACGTGATTCTAGAAGCTTGACTCTCCCGATTTTATGCTCTCATGAACACTACGTTGCTCAATTTTTCCCCACTCTAATGATCTGTATTTCCAAGGTTGACAAGTGAAAATGTTCATAATGGAACGCTAGAACATGGACTTGAAAATGACGTGAAATATAAGCACACCTTAAGAAGAATATTTGAAGCAAATGGAATGCGGAAAATCAACATTGACCATTTACTTTTACTCCCATCTAAGACGGCAACGACTTGTTCCTTACAAATTCCATAGAAAAAAGATAAAGACAAGATTATTTTCCTATCATAGCGTAGTACTTCCCTTCTCTCCTACTCAAAATCACGTTCACCATTCTCCCTTCACTCATCTCTCAAACCATGAGCACAATCCACCAAACACACACTCGCCAAGAGAGTGAAGGAGACAAAGAATTCAGTTTCTGGGGTTCATCAAACACCATACCTTCTCAAAATAATTGTGATCGACCACAAGGCAATGAAACAAGGCACAATAAAAAAGCAGACTTTGGAGAAACATACCAAAGAAAAAACATTAAACTTGAGTATTCATCTTCTTGTTCTTCAATTTCAGACCCTTCACGGCACAAAGCTGTTGCAGAAGGACAAAGAGAGCTTATGGAAATGATGCAAGACATTCCTGAGTCTGGCTACGAACTCTCTTTCCAAGACATGGTGGTTGTAGACAAGCAGGTGTTGGGACCAGAACAGCCACATCAAAGTGAAACTTCATATGACAACACACTCATGCAAAGTAGTGGAAGTAAAGTTCAACTCAAAAGACTAAACAAGAAGAAAAACAGAGGCAATAATAGTAGACCTGGTCAGATATTGCGGGTTGAAAGCATGGACAGTGAAACATTCCTCCTCAAGTTGTTCTTTCCAATTTCTCTTGATTGGATGAAGAAGGATAAGGTGAAGAGTGGCTCCAAGATTTCTCCAAGACCATCTTTGCAGGAATCTATGAAACAATTGGCAAAAGAATGGAGAATCAAAAGATTTTTCCTTTCAGGAAACAATAGAGACCATGCTGGAGATGGCAAAATTCAAAATAGTGACCGCAGCAATAGTGACATAAGCAGGTAGATACTGAATTTTCTATTTTTTCTTCTTTGATTTCTTATATATATCCTCCTTCACAAGCAATCAAGTTCGAGACATGATCTGAAACTAAATGTCAACACATTTATCAGCAAATATTTGAATTTTGCTTTATCACGTTATAAGAGACTAACTCTTTTTGCTAGACTTAAGTCTTGTTGGTTTAATGAAATTTTCAATAGAAAATGTGTTAGATGATGACAACAATGACAATGAAGTAATTGAAGTCATCAAATATAATAGAAACTAACATAGTCTAAATGAAAAAAAACTTGCTATTTATATAATATCCACTAATGTTATTTTGCTTCATCAGGTATGTTGATCACAGCTTCTCATTGTCACATGGTTGCTGTCCATTCCCTCCTTATGCAAAAAGCAAAACGAAGAATCTGGGAGAATAAATCACTAATAATATTCATACTTCTTTTCCTGGAAGCTTGGGGTGCCATGGGAATTCACAAGAGTAAAAAATGTGAAATAAAGGATTCGAGGGCATGAAGAATGCCACAGGGACACACCATAGACTTTTTTGTTTTTGATTTCCAGGTTTAGATAGTAGTAATGGCATTCATGTGCGTACATTTGATCATTAAAATTTCTCTTCTCGTGCTATGTGAAAGATGCTGGGAAACTTTCCAGGGCATGTAATTTAAGCCACAAGCTTTGCTTCTTTCACTGTATCAGTTAAACATCTGTTAGTTAAAAAACCATAACCTTGTTATAGTGAGTCAAGCAAGCATATATAGTACGTAGCACGCTGCTATGGACATTTACCTTACACGCTCATTGTTCTGTAGTCTCATCATAGAGAATTAAGGACCACAAACAAGATCTCTCCATTCATAACAGCACAAATTTTGTAATGTCATAGGCTTATAGCGCATAACACATGTGGAGAGTTTTGTAGTCTGTGTGGAAACTTCAGCTTTATCTGAGTTGGTGTATTTTGAAACTTTTGCCCTGTTCAGGCTGTTTGAGTGTTGCATGTTTTTTCTTCCCACAAATTATCCTCAATTCTTGTTTCTGGTATTGTGGGACACTACATATGAATACTTTTAAAGAGAATTTGAATCTTGTTTCATCATAACGCCAAAAATGTTTTCTATTTGACTTCCAAAATATATCAATAAATCGTGCGCCAAAAAGTATGAGAGCTGTATGTAGCCATTGTTTATGGCATTTAAAAGTTTTTAATCATATCACTCGAAATTCCAAAAGCAATGGTAAAGCAGATAGGTTCCTGCTTCAGAACACTTATCAATTTAGTTTTGAGCGCATTGTTCTTGATGCGACAATTTTGTTGCCTTTGAAAAATATAAATATAAATATCTCATTGTTTATTTAATAAAGCATCAGCTCATGAATCTGATGAGAAAACTCAATACAATAATTCAATGAAAAAAATAATACAAAGTGGAAAAATTCTTGCAAAAATCAATGAGGAGCATCAACAAAATAAAATAAATGTAAGTAGCTCAAATATATAATAGACACAAAATTTTAGCACATAAAAAATTTTCAATACAAAAGTAAAAATCACAATTAAAGAGCACAAGAGAGTTTCCAATGATTGCATAAAATAGTGAACAAATTTTCAATTACAATTCAAAAAATGTTACTTAATAGATATGTGAACTTGACAATGAATTTTTTGTGTTTGTTATTGCTCTCTTTCAATAATGAGTCACTCTTTTTTAATTCTAATATGACTTGTCTTTACTTAATTAAGTGACATATAATAGATTTAATCATTTAAATATATTCTTCACATAGGAAGGAATTCTAAAATCCAACCGAAATTTCTAATCTTATTATCCTTGGCCAAAATCATCTTTTCATCATGTTTCTAGTTATACATTTGCACTTTGATCTTTTGAAAATATTTTCGGTCTAGTTTGCTTTTGATTAACTTTCCATTTTATAAAGCTACTTTTGACAAGGAGACTTTGTTTTTGGAGACTTGCATATTTCATGTTGAAGTCTATCAAGCTTGATTCATGCTCTGTGTGTTGTTATTATCATTAAGACAATTTAATATAATCACATCTCAAATAAAATCATTAATAACTTAGTTTAGAAGACTTGGAACTTTTTTTTTTTAGATTTTTGATATCATTAAAACTTCGATGAGGAAATTGACCTCAATAGATACCACTTGAAAGATATCTATAATATATCTGAATTGATATGTAATCATATAGATACATATTATAGCATACTTTATCATAAATTAAAGAAGATCGAAACTAAAATTTGTGTATAATAAAAAGGCTTCATCTTTTATCAATCCTTGTGGAAGAACTTGTTGGGATACAAACAAGTCTCACATCGATAAAATAAGAAAAAAAAATAACAACTTATATAACATAAACATACTTCAATGATTGAGAGGCCTTTTGGGTGATGATCAAAAGCAAAATTGTGAGGGTTTAGGCCCAAAACGAACAATATCTTATTATTGTGGAGTATGCTTGTGTTGGACAAAACTTTTTGATGAGAAACAAATTTCATAATCACATTAAACTTCTTATGGAGCACCACTTAAATAGTTCAACTTAACACAAATCATTGAAAATAACACTCTAATTACAATTCCATCAACTAATCAAATATTATAAATAAATTAATAATATAATTAATATATTGAGTAAATTACAGTTTTTTCATAAAAGATATGGATATTGTGTTGTCGTTCCCTCTTATATTAAAAATTTACTATAATGAAATTAATAGGAGAGATAAAATGTTTTTATCTTTTAAAAATTAAATTAAATTACTATAATATATTTTATACAAATTAATCAAATCAAAAGAAATGAGTGATTTTCTTGTCTTAAAATTTTGGTGTAGATTGCTAACATACTCCAACTAAAAAATAGGTAAAAATGTTAACGGTCTCTTTTTTAAAATTTTATAATGATTATTTTTTAACAATGTTAAATTAATATAATAAAATAGTGATATTATAGTACTTGTATCTCTAAGGAATAAAAGTGTAATTTATTTGATATTTTAACATATGAAAGATAAATAATGTAATACTTACATTTGTCGGGAGAGAAAAATGTAATTTACACTAATGATATTAAGTTAAATTGACTAAATTATATATTTTAACATAAAAGGAATAACAATGTAATATTTTTATCTCTTAAGAGATGATAACATAATTTAGTCCAGTATATTTAATAGTTAAAAATGTTCAAAATAATTAATTAACACTAAATGCATGGCCATTTTGGTAAGGGTTTGTTAACTTTGTTTGATAATTAAAAGGCAGTGTTCATAACACGTATAACAAAATAAAATGATTTATTTGAGCTAAAAAAGAATATGCCATAACAATGAAAAATTGAAAATAGGGAAAGTTGAAATTGTCTAATTTTTTCTTCATATCGAAACGGAGACCAATACATGCTTAATGCTTCAACTTTTGAGAAGTGGAACAACATAAATAAAGCAACTCTTTTGACACTTTGGTGTGTACAAATGAAAAAGAAGAATCAAAAAGGGAGATGACACTAGTGTTCCATTCAAATTGGAACCATTAGACTCTGCGTCATAATGACAAGTTTCCAATTTTAACCAAACAATAAATATAATAATGAAATAAAAAAATAAAATAAAATAAATAACTAAAATTGATCAATGATATATTAGGATCGGGTGTTAGACATACATATTTATCCCTTACTCTATTAAGGCCCATATCACATTAGAAAGCTTACCAATAATATAAGATGGTTCCATCCAACATTCACAACCTCTGAGATTGAAAATGTTGCTGGCCCAACCCAATCCATCTCATACGAACGCAATTGTTTTGTCATGCATCCTGTATTTAAATAAACAATAACATTGAACACTTAAATTGCTAATTTTCTAATCCTATCATTCACAAACACATCAATATTTTCATTTAATTTTTATAACATATTAATTGATGAAGCAATATTAATTTAAAAAGTTATATGAATCAAATTCGCAATAAAATAATTTAAAGACTAAATTACACATGCATAAAATATAAAGATCATAAGGGAATTTAAGTTTAAATTTTTAATTAATATTTTTTAATTTTTTTTTATTACATCATGTCATATTAGATGTTAGCATGTTTAATTGTCTTCTTAAAAAATGAATTTGAGTACAACTCCATCTTACAAAATCAACTTATTATATGAGGATTACTTCTCGCTTGTATACATTTTTTTTTTATCTTATTACTAATGATATGAAATCTCTAATACATTTTTTTCGCACCAAGAACTAAACATCTCAAATGTGAAGTTTGCAAAACTAAATATCTATGAATGGTTTAATAACGACCTGATAGTATGATAGACCCGAAACAACCAATAATCATTAAGATATATAGGCTTTGCTATCAACTTAAAAAAGTGGATTACGTGTGTAACTAAACCTTATAAAACCAATTTATATGGTGATGATTACTCCTCACTTATATATCATCTTGTGTTGAGGACTAGACATCTTGAGAGTGAAGTTTACAAGACTAAATATTTGTTGGTAGTCTGACAGTGAGTGACATGATAAGTTTAATAATAATCAATAATTGTTAGAATATAAAATTTGATACGTTTTGATACAATTAAGTTATATTTTTAGTTTCTCTATTTTTTTAAAATTCAATATAGTCTTACAATTTTTAAAAGGTTCAATTTAGTAATTTTTAAAATATATTTAATGTTGCAAACCGTGGTTAATGATGCTAATAAAATTATATAAAAGGATAACATTAAATATTTTTGAAAAATTAAATAACTAAATTAAACATTTTAAACACAGTGAGACCAAATTGAATATTTTTAAAATGAATTGTTTACTCAAATAATACTATTATAAAAAAAATTACCCAAATAGCAATTGTGCAAATTTATTTTCTCAACTAGCACCATTTACTGTTCATGTTCAGAACGGGCCATTCCAGATTAAAAAATAACACATGGCGAATGGATTAGAACGGGCCGTTCCAAATTCAAAATTAGCACAAAAAAAGTGGAACCAAAACGGGTCGTTCTGAATCTGGAACGGGTCGTTCTGGCCTACAGATTCAGACCATTTTTTTTCGATTTTCACTTATCAAATACCAAAACTCAGAGACTACCATCAAGTGATTAAATTTATTGAATATTAACATTATAAATATAACTAAATAAATTTATTAAAATTCATTACAACAATAAAAATCAATGGTGGCGGAAACTGAATTCATAACCAATATTTGGATATGTCTTCCTAGTGTGACCAGGGGTGTGACAATAGGAACAAATTTTTACACGATTATGTTATTTTCTAATGTCCATCTTCGTTCTAATCCTGCTGGACTTTGGCCGACCCCTGAAAGTTCTCTTGAGCTCTGGATTTGGCCACAAAGTTGGAAGAAACGCAACATCCTAGAGAAGTTTGACCCACTAGGAAATTTACAATAAGGCTAAATGAAATGTGGTATGAGTGTGGCAAGTTCTAGAAAGTTCATATCTCTTGCTCGCATGACTCGTTGGGAGATTTACAGTAAGGCTAAATGAAATGTGATATGATTGCGACAAGTTCCAAAAAGTTCATATTCCTTGTCGCATGACCCGCTAGGAGATTTACAGTAAGGTTAAATGTAATGTGGTGTGATTGCGACAAGTTCCAGAAAGTTCATATCCCTTGCTCACATGGTCACACCCCTGGTCACACTAGGAAGACATATCCAAATATTGATCATGAATTCAGTTTCTGCCACCATTGATCTTTATTGTTGTATTGAATTTTAATAAATTTATTTAGTTATATTTATAATGTTAATATTCAATAAATTTAATTATTTGATGTTAGTTTTCTGAGTTTTGGTATTTAATAAGTGAAAATCGAACCAAATTTTTTTTATTTATAAGCCAGAACAGCACGTTCCGGATTCAGAACGGCCCGTTCTGATTCCACTTTTTATGTACTAATTTTGAATCTGAAACGGCTCGTTCTGATCCATTCGTCATGTGTTATTTTTTAATCTGGAACGGTC